AATGAAGTCAATGTCAGGTGTCTCTTTTTAGCTCTCTCATGCCTTATTTTTGAGAAAGGGTCTCTCACTAAACCTAGAGCTCATAGATTTGGATAGGCTGGCTGGCCAATGAGCTCCAGGGATCTGCTTGTCTCTGTACCCTCAGCACTGGGGCTGCAGATGTGTGCCACTATGTCTAGCTTTTATGTGGGTGCTGGGAATCTGAACTCAGCTATTCATGCCTGCACAGCAGTCACTTTACCAGTGCAATCTACCTGCACTTTACCACTTTACCATCTCCCCAGCGTCTTAACAACATCTCTTTATAAATACATGAAACTGGCCATGAAATTGTGTGTGTGTGTGTGTGTTATTGTGAATGTGAAATGTATGTGCTAGTGTAGATATGTGTACAGGCTTGTATATATGTGTGAATGTGTGAGCATGTGTTAGTATGTGTTGTGGAAGTCAGAAGCTGACATTCATGTATCTTTCCTCAATCCCTCTTCACCTTCATTTTGTTGTTTTTATTATTGAGACAGGATCTTATGATGTAGCACTGCTGGCCTGGAACTTGCTATGTAGACCAGACTGACCTCAAACAGAGATCTACCTGTTTCTTATTCCAGAGTGTTCTGATTAAAGACATGTTACCACTATGACTAGCCACCTTTTTTAAGAGCTTTTCTCTCTCTCTCTCTCTCTCTCTCTCTCTCTCTCTCTCTCTCTCTCTCTCTCTCCCTCTCTCTCTCTCTCCACACACATATACACACACACCCCACATGCCAAAGCCACAGGTATATACTACTATGCCTGGCTTTTTACATGGGGGTGGGGATCTGAACTCAAGCACTACACAGACTGAGGTGTCTCAGTCAGTATGTATGTTTTTCCAAGATAGAATTAAAAAACTATAAAAGTTTGACCACCCACTGTCAGGAAACCCTCAGAGTCCCACGGGGAGTCCCCTGTGTAGGAGACTTTGTCTATAGTGTCAAACAAGGCTGTCCTGAAGATCCCACCAGAACGTTTCCAGGGGTGGGAAATCCAGGCATCTTTGCAGAGCCCTAACTGTGGTCTGTGCCCTCACTGTTCAGCAAGCCATTCTAACTTTCTTCGGTGTTCTTTTGGAAAGGAATTGAATCTTTTTTAAAAATTTTTACATCTCTGTTTACACACTTAGAGGGTACTATAGTTTCTCTTTTAGACAGGGTCTCAGTATGTAGCCTGGGCTGGCCTGGTACTTACTATGTAGACCAAGCTGGCCTTGAATTCACAGAGATACACCTGTCTCCTCTTTCTGAGTTCTGGGATTAAAGGGTGTGCCACAACACCTGTAAGCATAGATTTTTAAAGTATTGCTTACCCTTAAATCATTTTATAATCAATGGGACCACACAAATCAAGCAATAAAGAGCAAGAGAATGGTGCCAGTGAGGTGGCTCAGCTGGTAAAGGTGTTTTCCACTAAGCTGGATGACCTGAATTGGACCCCCAGAGCCTTCATAATGGAAGGAGAGCACTGAGTCATGAACGCTGTCCTCTGACCTCTACATTGCTGCTACGACCCATACATACACTCACATGCATTCATGAATGCCACACACACACACACACACACACACACACACAATAAATAAATGTAATTTTAAAAAAGAACTGGAGAATATTCTAATTCACCCTAAGTCAGAGAGTACCCACCCAGTGTAATTAAAATCATGTTCAATGAGCACAATTTGAAACAGGTAAAAGGACAAAGTATACATTTCATTTTTATTATATCACAGAAGAGCTTTTCAAATTTGTTGATTAATGTTAGTAACATTCCACTTTGACGATGAGACTATTATTGAAGCATCAAATGTTGTCAGGGTTGTCATGACTGCACACGGCACATTTAAGGACTCTGAGGAGGAATAAGAGTCACACAGAATCATGTCTCTAATTTTTATTTGATTTTACACACAAAATGATAAAAGTGAATGCACTCATCCTCAACTCATGGGCAGAGGCCTGAGGAGAATCTCATTCTAACACCTACTTCTGAAGAGCTCCTTCAGGCTGGGGCTGAGTTAAGAGCTCAGTGCTGAGCCTCGGGGCTGGAGGAAGGAGGGAGAGGGAGTCTGCTTCACAGAGACAAGCTCTGTTTGGTGGGATGAAAGTGTCTTAGGAATAGGTCATGGTGACAGCCGCCCAGCATCATGAATGTAAATAATGCCACTGAATTAAATATTTAAAATTATTGACACAGCAAGGTTTATATATTTTACCACAAAAATTCCCCCAAAATGGCAACAGAAACTCTATAATCAAATACCAGAGATATATTTTAAGATAATATTCAAACACCTTTCTGACAACTTCATGAGGTAATCAGCATTTTACTTTTGGGTTGTATATTTAAGTTCAAACAATTTGGTCATGGGTAACTCAAAGCAAAACCACAGATGCTCTAAAGAACATGTACAATGGTAAAGAACCCTCTCTGGGATTTCACAGTCCATTTTAACAGAAGTCAGGCCAGCGACAGCGAGGCTAAGGAATTTAATGTAACCAGTCTCAAACAGGTGCCCTAAGATTGTCTTGAATGTACAAATGAAATACCAATCAAACCTTCAGCTCCTTAAGAGTGGGTTTGGGTCATTGTAGTCTGCTGGCCAGGAAAGGCTGGTGGGATGTGACTTTCCATAATCTCATTAGCTATTATAACACATGCAAAACTTTTGCTCACTCAGAACCCTCAAAGACACAAGTCTAAATTTTATAAACAAATGCCTTCAAGTTCATGGGGTGCTTCAGACCAGTATGGAAAAGCACACCAGCAATGTTTGTTGAGAATGTGTCAGGATGCAAAGATGGAGAGTGGACTGGGAAAACCTGAACACCCTCAGACATCTCAGCTGTTGAAATGGCCCACAGCAGCAGGCAGCTGGTTCTGCCATGTCTACAAGGAATGGATGATGGAACCTGACAGGAAATATCTCTTCTGAGAAGAATAACCAGTTACCAGCTTGGCTCACTGGGGAGAAGGGAACTCGAACTTTGACATGGTTCAAATCCAGACTCCATCGCTTTCTGACTGTGACATTGCAAGTTACACTGCCCTCTCTGTCTCAAGTCCTCTCTGTCTCATTCTTGATCTTTTTTTTATTTTTTATTTTTTATTTTTTTTGGTCTTTTTGAGACAGGGTCTCCCTGTAGCACCAGCTGGCCTGGAACTCCCTATGTAGACAAGGCTGGCCTTGAACTCACAGAGATCTGCCTGGGACTAAAGACATGCACCATGCACAGCCCTCATTCTTTCATCTTTTTAAACAGGGTCTCACTCTGTGGCCCTGGCTGGCCTAAAACTTGCTATGTAGACCAGGCTGGCCTTCAACTCACAAAGATCTACCTGCCTCTGCCTCTAGGAGCTAAGGTTAGAGGTATGAACCACCATGCTTGGCTTTCATTTGTTTTTCTTATATTTACCTTAAAGAGTCAATGTGAGTCTGAGATGGCCCACATGGGGCACCCAGCAGTGCTTAGGGTGTCAGCATGCTCCTGCCAGCCCTAACCTGCCCCATGCTGCCCCCTTCCTAGTGCTGAACAATAGAGGGAGGTTTAGAGACAGTGCCTGCTACCCCAAAACTTGAGTCTTGGCCCAGTTTGGGCTATCTAAAGGCAGGGTGCTTAGGTCTGCAGCTATTCCAACAATATTGCTTGCATTAAGGGAGATATTGTGATTCACTCTATAAAATTAAATATGCCACAGGTGGATATCCGTTACCAACACATGAGGCTGCTCCCAGAGAGCTGGACAGGTTTCTTCCAGCAAGTCAGAAAGGCTGCTTTCAGATGGATGTGCACCACAAACCCAACTGCACCAGCTCCTGTCTCTCATATGATCCCCATGGGAACAAAAGATCCTCTCACCCCTAACCTTTACCTGATGCTCTGGAACAATCATCTTCAATTGTTACTCTCACTGTTTGAAAGTGTGCCCTATTCCACTAGATGCACACAGTAACTCTTTTCAATAAAAAAAAGCCTCCAAATCCAAACTGGGAGTAAGGAGGAGTGGACTCCAGGAAGGTGCCAGTCTCCTTGATTCTTTTAGACTCCCAGGCTCCTCTGATGTGTTTATAAAACCTAGCAAACTTCCTGAACACTCTTCAGCCTTACTAGAAAGGCCCCTTGTCAAGGTGAACAAACAGCCAGGGACCCTGGGACTTCCCACACTCTCTCAGCATCCCTGGAGTTCATGCTCACTTTCAGCTCTGGAGAGTACCTCGTCACAACAGTCAGGCCAGGCCCCAGGTTTCACCTGCGCTCTGCCTGGCCAGACATCAGAAACAAAAATCGACCTTGAAAAACATCTAGAGACAGAATGTTGGAAACAAACCCAGAAGTCCATTTCTTAGCTACATGATCATGATTGTATATGTGCATAGTTTATGTAGATTAGTCCCTACCAGGACTCAGAGGATCCAGGAAACACAATGGCTTCCCAAACAGTGTTTATGAAACACTGAACAGGAAGAGTGGGCAGAAGCCATAGCCCTACAGGCTGCACAAGACTATACTACCATCTGCAGACAGCCACAAGCAGCCTGACACCCAGCAAGAGGCTATGGACACAGCATCCACTGGTGTATATGGGATGCCAGCCTCATTATAGGAAGTCATCCCCACAGCGAGCAAATGCTGTCCTTCACCTCCCATCCTACCTGTACCTAAAAACCTGTTGGGGGAAAAGCTCGCACAGCTGTTTACACAACTGTGACAGGAAGAACAGCAAAGAGTAATTAAGACAAGTGTAGAAGTCACTAAAATTACCCATGTGACTTCCTGGCACAGTCTTCCTAAGAAACACATGTGCTTCTGCTCTGATGAGTATTTGTGCACTGGGACCCACCTGTGGTCCTAGATCTTTACCATCAAACAGGAGCTCTGCCCAACATGTCAAAATGGCCAAGGGGTGGTTGAGGCCCCCATCACAAGTAAAATAAAATGCACTCACTCACCATGCTTCCTTCAGAGTCAGGGTTGCATTTCATCGACTTCCTTAACAATTTCAGCTGGTGCCTGGGGGGAAAATGCATGGTTCAAGTTGAGTCACAGTCAGCCTGTGACAAACTCCTTTGAAGAACCAAAGAACACATGAAATGATGTGCCCTTTTAGACCAGGTTTACAGATAGAATCTAGGGAAAGGGAGAACTCACTCTAGTTTTTCCAAGTACAGGATTATCTGTTCTGTGTTTTTACCTCTGCCTCCACCAAGAAAATGACAACGTGCCTAACAAGGTTGCTGGAGAAATCTGTAGGAAGACTCGCTATAAATCCTTTTCCTGTAACAGGAATGGTAGGAGCCAGGCATGGTGACACGCACCTGTAATCCCAGCACTTGAGAGGTTCAGGCAGGAGGATCATGGGTTTGAGGACAGCTTGGACTGCCTAGGAAGTTCAAGGCCAGCTGGACTACATAGTGTCTTAGTTTGTTCTTCATTGCTGTGACAAAACACTCTGACCAGTACGAACTTGGGGAGGAAAGGGTTTATTTGTCTTATATCTCCCAGGTCACACGCAGTTCATCAGGGAGCCCAAGGTAGGAACTCAGGGCAGGAACCTGGA